AGCTGCTTGAGTCCTTGACAGAAAAATAGGCAAAGAAAATAAGGAGTGTTTCTCAGCTTTCATAACCTCATCATATTCCACTTCTGGCTAGGCCCCCCCAGGATGCAATGGCACAGCCCCCCCGGCTGAGCCGCTCTGGTGCCCCCCCCCTTTGGGACCCAGCTTCTCCTGCTCCCACCTCAGGCCCCAGGCCTCGACTTTGGGAGGGTCAAGATGTGCTGGCCAGATGGACAGATGGGCTGCTATACTTGGGGACCATCAAGAAGGTAAAACCTTTGACCTCTGACCTGTCACTTTCCCCCTTCCCCTTATCTAGTTCTGATTCCTATTTTATCCTCTGTGTTCACCCACTCCAGGTGGATAGTGCCCGGGAGGTGTGTCTGGTCCAGTTTGAGGATGATTCCCAGTTTCTGGTTCTATGGAAAGACATTAGCCCTGGTGAGACCCTAGGGGCCTAGGAGTATGCATCCCATGGAAGACAGAAACCTAGCTTGGGGTACAGAAAGGGGCTTAAGGACAGGCCCCTGCCTAACACTGTGTTCCCTCATAGCTGCCCTCCCTGGGGAGGAACTCCTCTGCTGCGTCTGTCGCTCTGAGACTGTGGTCCCTGGGAACCGGCTGGTCAGCTGTGAGAAGTGTCGCCACGGTGAGAGGGCAGGATACCTGAATGATCTAGCTTGCCCTGGACATTTCAGGCTGCCTCTGTCCCTTCTTATCAGCACTGGTCCTTACACCACCTGTCCTGGTCTGAGTCCCTAAGACACTGCTCTGGCCAGTCTCTTCAACTCTGTAATCTCACTCCCTTCCCAACACAGAGAGAGGCCGCCATGGAATGGGGATGTGTGAGCTTTGCAGGCAGAGGGTGGCTCAAGTACTCTCTTTCTTAACCATATGACCTTGGGCAAACCTCTAAACCTCTAAGAGCCTCAGTTCCCTCACCTGTAAAATAAGGGTAATACCCCTGCCCCCAAACAGGACCATGGTCAAGGATTAAATGAGACAGATAAGACTCTTCCTTTCCCAATACCTAGTACACACAAGTTTATAATTCAGTAAGTGCTCTACCATCAATATCCTTATTCAGCTTATCACCAGGACTGCCATGTTCCAAGGGCCCCAGCCCCTGGAGAGGGAGAGGGCACATCCTGGGTCTGCCGCCAGTGCGTCTTTGCCATCGCCACCAAGGTAAGGCACCTTCCTGTGGGAGCCTCCTACCCACAGCCTCTCCTAAACCTTTCCCCTCCCCACCCCTCTGAGGTTGCCTGCCTGTTCTATCTCTGCAGAGGGGGGGTGCACTGAAGAAGGGCCCCTATGCCCGGGCTATGCTGGGTATGAAGCTATCTCTGCCATACGGACTAAAGGGGCTGGACTGGGACGCTGGACATCTGAGCAACCGGCAGCAGAGCTACTGTTACTGTGGTGGACCTGGAGAGTGAGTAATGAGGGGCGGGGTGGGGTTCAGCAAAGAGTGATGAAGTGTGGTGGTGTGGGGAATCCTGGGCAATGGAGGAGGAAACAGGGTAAGCTGAGTGGTGAAGGGGGTGGGAGTAGGTGGTGAGCAAGGTTTGGGCAGTTAAGGGGGAAAGTGCCTGGAGGTCACTTGTCCTACGTGCCCCCTCAGGTGGAACCTGAAAATGCTGCAGTGCCGGAGCTGCTTGCAGTGGTTCCATGAAGCCTGCACTCAGTGTCTGAGCAAGCCCCTCCTCTATGGTGACAGGTGAGACCTGGGCCGACTCTCCAGGAGCCCAGGGAGCCCTCTTGATCTGCCCCACCCTCTCAGTTCCCCCACACCTGCCTGTCTTGGATCCATTCTCCTCACAACCTCTGAAGCTGTTGCTCACTAGTTCACCCCATCCTTGTTTTGTGAGCCCTCCATAGCATGGTATAGTTTTCCTGTATAAGGTGTATTCTCTCTCTTGCCCACATCCAGGTTCTATGAGTTTGAATGCTGTGTGTGTCGGGGAGGCCCTGAGAAGGTCAGGAGGCTACAGCTTCGCTGGTGAGCTTGACCTCAGTGTAACTCCTCTCTCAACACCCATTTTTCACCCTACCTCCCCAACCTCCCACTCACAACTCCCCTGGCTTTAGTAATGCTTCTACAACTTTGACAACTCAATGTTTCTCCAGGGTGGATGTGGCCCATCTTGTCCTCTATCACCTCAGCGTTTGCTGTAAGAAAAAATACTTTGACTTTGACCGTGAGATCCTCCCCTTCACCTCTGAGAATTGGGACAGCTTGCTCCTTGGGGAGGTACGGGGCAGTGAAGCTTTGGATGTTATGGTGGAATAGGGAGATGTGAAGAAAGGGGGAGGAAGGGATCACTGCTTCCTTGATCCCATTTTCCCATCTCTTCCCCAGCTCTCAGACACCCCCAAGGGAGAACGTTCCTCCAAGCTCCTCTCTGCACTCAACAGCCACAAGGACCGGTAAGTTGAAGAGAGGCTCAGAGATGGGGATGTGGATATGGAAGCCTGGGAGGGGAGGTGCTGCAACCCACCTGGAAGATCATCTCTGGAAAGACTGAATAATAACAGAAGAGGGGCCCTTTTCTATAGCACTGACCTGTATTATTTTTCTCCTCACCCCAGTTTCATTTCAGGGAGGGAGATTAAGAAGAGGAAATGTTTGTTTGGTCTCCATGCTCGGATTCCTCCTCCTGTGGAGCCACCTACTGGAGATGGAGCCCCCACCAGGTCACTGGTCCAGGGGGGATGGGGAAATTCTCAGGCTATTAATCTGGGGGTAAATATATATGGAGATGGGGAGGTCTTTGGGGTGTCCGGGAGGGGGCTGGGGGGATAAGGAGGCCTCTTACAGCTTCCCTTCAGGGCAGGGCCCTGGGGGAGGGGTTCCACGTCCCCTGGGGAAGCGCCGGAGGCCGGAGCCAGAGCCCCTGAGGAGGCAGAAGGGGAAGATGGAGGAGCTGGGGCCACCCTCAGCAGTGTGCAATCAGCCAGAGCCCCAGGAGCGGGCCCCTCTGCAGAGGGCACTGCAGGTACAGAGATGGGGGAACCCCGTGGGGCAAATGCTGATATGGGAAAGAATCAAGGGTTATCTCTCAGTGCTTTGCTCCTACTTCTAGGCTTCAGTGTCTCCACCACCCCCCAGCCCTAACCAGAGTTACCAGGGCAGCAGCGGCTACAACTTCCGGCCCACAGATGCCCGCTGCCTGCCCAGGTCAGTGCTCCTCCCCGCTCCAACCAGATAGGCTCCCCTAGAACCTCTCCTCCAATTGTCTACATCCTCTGGACTTTCTCACCTAGAATTCTTTACCCTTGGCTACCTACTTCTTGTGCTAGAGACTTCTATAACCAGTGTCTGGTCCCCAGGATCCAGGGGATGGGGGCTCCCCAGGGTAGTGTTTAAGCTCTGCCCTTCTTAGGGGGGGAACGTTGTATTCCCCTGCTTCAGGTCCTGACTTTTCTCCCTCCCCAACCGCAGCAGTCCCATCCGGATGTTTGCTTCCTTCCACCCCTCTGCCAGCACCGCAGGGACCTCTGGGGATGGTGAACCCCCAGACAGGTGAGATTCTACTTTACTTGTGACACCCCTCTTCACCTCTGTGTTAAGATCCTGTCTCCAACCATTTCTTCATTCCTCTGATCCACATGTGGCCTCATTTCTTGTCAGTCCTTTCCTGTGTCTGGCTGGACTCACAACTGCCTTCTCTCCCTAGGTCACCCCTGGAACTTCACATTGGTTTCCCCACAGACATCCCTAAAAGTGCCCCCCACTCGATGACTGCCTCATCTTCCTCAGTCCCAGCCTCCTCCCCAGGTCTTCCTAGGCGCTCAGCAATCTCTTCTCCCCTGTGCCGTAGTTTGTCTCCTGGGACTGGGGGGGCAGTCCGAGGTGGGGTTGGCTATCTGTCCCGAGGGGACCCTGTACGGGTCTTGGCTCGGAGAGTACGGCCTGATGGTTCTGTGCAGTACTTGGTTGAGTGGGGGGGTGGGGGCATCTTCTGAACAGCCTGCCTTTGCCCACCTCCCCATTCACACACACACACACATACACACCCGGGCACTTTCATACCCTGACCTCACAGCTGAGATGTACCTGGGGAGGTAGGGGGTACTTTTCCCTACTGCCTAGGTGGAATCCAGGTTGGGGGGCAGGGGGTGGAGAAGAGGCTCTCTCTTCTCTACTCCCTTCATGATTCCTGAGCATTCCCCCATCCCTCTTCCCATTTCCTTTGATGTTATTTTGTTACAGCTTTTAAAATATTTTTAAAAATTATTTAACCCCTGGGGATGGAGACTGAGGAGGGGAAGGATGGTCAAGGATACCGGGCTCTGTATGGTTGAAATAAAAATATACAAATCTAAGAGCTGAGTCATTCTGAAAGATAAGAACACAGGCACCAGAAACAGTTCTAATCTTCCCAACCAAATTCACCTATGTGACAAGAAAAGGCAAAAGGCAGAAAGAACCAAAGGTAGGATTTATTAGGGGCTCAGTCATCCTCTGGAAGTCAGGGGGCATTGAAGTTTGTGAGAGGAACATGGCAGGAACAGGGCTCATCATGGTGGGACTGTGCTGGAGTCAGAAACTGACTCCGTAACCTGGCGTACCCAGTGCAGGTACGGGGAGTTTCCCTGCTCCACGGGCAATGAAATCACCTCAGCCACTTCGTAAGGGTGCACAGAGCTGTGAAAAAAGGAGGGGTGTCACTCAAAGGCTACCCAAAAGAGCCCAACTCCTCACACTGCCCAACAAGTCCCACCCCACAGTACCCACCCTCACCCCCGCCATTTCCAAGTTCTCACCGAACATAATCTGTCAAAGCTGGAACCAAGGAACTTTGGGTTTTAATCATCTAAGGGGTGAAGACAAACATGGTGAGTTGATTTCAGGATCTCATGAAGGAGAGGGGTCAAAGGGGTCAGAGAACTGAGGTTTTGTGGGGTGGGGAAATGATTCTCACCATCAGCACCTCACTGTCCTCCTCAATCTTTCCTTTCCACTCATAGCTGAAAAGGTCAGGGAGAGAGTGTTGTGGGAGCAAAGATTTTTTCCCCAAGGAAAAAGACTGCCAGTCAGCTGCTAGCCTTAGGTTAACCCCCAACTCCTATGACTCACATGGATGTAATCTGAGGGATGAGGTTGACGCAGGCTGCCAGGCGCTTCTCCACCACAGCCCTAAAGGTGAAGTGACAGACTCATTCAGAGTGCCCCATGACCCGGATTTTTGCACTGCCAGCCAACAGACAGGTTTCCAAAGCTGGATCAGGCAGGAAACAGCGGGAGGGCACTCCAACACCCCCAACTCTCCCTCATGATCATCCTCTCTCCACACTCGGGTTCCCACCTGGCGATCTCCTTGGCGACCTTCTCATTGGGGCAGGTGACAAAGGCTGCAGAAACTGAGCCAGGAACATAACGGGAATCTGAGGCCGGCGAGGGCTGGGCTGGGGGGCTTCCTGAAGCCATGGACAGCAGGGCTCGGGGTAGCAACAGAAGGCGGGAGGCCACAGGCAGCAGGGCCGGCATCCAAAGAAGCGACAGGAGCAGAGCGGCCTGGGAGCAGGCGGTGAATTTGGTGTCTCCTCACAAATACCCCAGGCAACTGCACCCCAGAAACCCTTCGTTTGGATAGACAATCGGGTCCTGCCCTCCCTCGTCTGCACCCTGAAGGAAAAGGTCCCTGAAGCTGGAAGAGAAGCGTGAAAGATTAAGACATAGGCTCGGTTTTACTCCCTCCTCAGGAGCCAACCTCTGCGGTTTTGACTGGGAATGGTGGTCGAGGTTTCGAGGACCGGAAGGGGCGGGGCCGGTCACTCACCCCTCCGCCGAGCAGGATTGCGGGAGCCCGCACCCCTTTCATGCAGCCTATGCTGGTGGAAGACAGTTGAATATCAAAGGCGACAAGTTACGCCGAGAAAGGACCCCACATCCAGGAAGAGTGGACTCTTCTTACCTGGGCAGCAGCCACGTGATAAGAAAACAACGCACACCACGTGACAGGAGAAGCTGAGCCTCCGGAGCCAGCCAATCGGGGCCCTAGGATGGCCCAAGTTGCCCCGCCTCCTGGTGAGGGAGGTGCGAAGGGGAGCTGGCCAATGGGTAGAAGGCTCTGCAGCCGTGCACGGAAACGGTACGCCCGTTTCCGGAAATGGCCAATGGCAAGCTGAGGAGAGCCGCTGCGGCGTTCCACTGTCACGTGAGGGGGCCGGGCCCCACGGGTGGCGGTAATCTCAATGAGTGACGCGAAGTAGCCAATCGCAGGCCAGCCCTGCAGGCCACGTGACGAAAGAGCTGGCGCTAGGAAAGCGGGGCTGGAGACCCCGCAGACTCGATGCGTCAGGTTGTAGAGTGGGGAACCGTCCTTCAGCCCCAGAGTGTGCCTCACAACAGCCCAACACTGTTCCGAGACCTGGAGG